CTAAGAAAGCAACAAAGCTTGAGCAGAAGATCAAAGTCCTTACTAATGGATATCAGGTACATTGTAGTGGTTTAATTGTTTAATCTGAATGTAGTTACCACTTCTTGTACAGTTCTCTGTTTATTAACTTCATTTGTCTGGAGGTTTGATCTGCAAGCAGACGTGTTTCTAGTTCTTACATGGATCTTTCTTGGCTATCCTACTTTTTTATTTGTGTTTTGAGAGTTTAGATCTAAGCTATAAATTCCAGCTAACAAATATTCATTGTGGATGAGCAGATGCGAGCCGGAAAACTCTGGTCACAGATAGAGGCTACNTCTGGTCACAGATAGAGGTTATGTTTAAGCAAATGGACACAGCAGGGACAGAACTTGAATGCTTCCGAGCATTACAAAAACAAGAGCAGCTAGCAGCATCACATAGGATCAACAATCTGTGGGAAGAAGTTCAGAAACAAAAGGAGCTTGAACGTACTTTACAGAAAAGGTACGGTGACCTCATAGCAGATAAGGAAAAGATGCAGCATCTCATGGATGAGTACAGAATACAAGCTCAAATGCAGGAAGAAATTGCAGCAAAGAATCGTGCTCTTGAGCTGGCCAAGGCAGAAATGGAAGAAAAGCAGAGCACATCTGCTGCTACTGAAGCTGGTGTGGAATCTTCAGGTACTGGCCAATGCTCCAATGCAGAGGAAACTNCATCATCTGCTATTGAAGCTGATGACGTGCCTGTGGAATCTTCAGAGACCGGCCAGTGCTCCAATGCAGAGGAAAAATCTGCTTCTGCCGCTCATGTATCATCATCTGCTATTGAAGCTGATGATGTGCCTGTGGAATCTTCAGAGACCGGCCAGTGTTCCAATGCAGAGGAAAAATCTGCTTCTGCCGCTCATGTATCATCATCTGCTATTGAAGCTGATGACGTGCCTGTGGAATCTTCAGAGACCGGCCAGTGCTCCAATGCAGAGGAAAAATCTGCTTCTGCCACTCATGATGCAACTCCTCAGGACGTTGAGGAACAGGTGAAAGTTATCAGTGACGACTCTACAATGGATGCTGAAGCCATGAGTGAGAATGTGCCTATGGAGGGTCAAAACTGTATAGGAGAGAGTAACCAGGACGTTACCAAAACAGAAGATTCTGGAGTTGCAGATGATGCGCAGGATGTAGTTGCAAGTGATGCGGGAAACTAGTAATGTTCTAGTTTTGCCACTAAGAAAGTGATTGGTGGTTCGCTTGTTGTGTTTTAATCCCATTTTCGTACATTTTTGGAACCAAGTTTTACTTCATTTCAAGAATGTCTTGTATGATTGGATGAAAATTTGGAAGTATCAATTTGAACTGTGGTTGAGCTGCCTACGTTCTTTGCAAAATAATGAACTGCAGCATTAGCCTGCCCTTTCCAATTTTTCTGGTAAACTAAAAATCTACAGTCCTTTATTTGCTGTATCATATTTGCTTCTAGGCTTGTGTAATTGTGAATTTAATTTCTAACAAGCAATCTGTTTCAAATTGAACGTTCCGGGATCTTTACATAAATAGCCGGCCATATTTACTGTTTACTTTTTCTAGTTTTATATATATATATATATTTACCTCTTTTGACTATTTCCAGTTTAAATGGTTGGGTGGGCAGTTATTTGGGTTAATTCTTCACTGCTTGTTGGAGAACCAACATTTGAAATGCTTAGTACTTTATATATACTCCATTAAATATAATATGTTAAAAGGTTTGTTAAGTATATCAGATCCATTGATATATATCCTTTGCACATGATAAATTTCATTTTGAAAGAAGTCTCCCCTCACAATTGATTTAGGTCCATTTCCGGTTTCATTTCAGATTATACACATTTAAAGATTATATATTTATATAACTTCAATTATGCTAATTTATAAAATTTAAAAGAGTCGGGAAAAACCCGAGAGAAACTACTATGATGGAAAATTTAAAACGTTTTCGAAATGTTTTGCACATTTAGCTAACCCTCCGATGAACCAATTGCTCATATTATGTACTATGATAATACTCTATTGAACCAATAACGGTTTCAGCCCCAAGCTTACTTCTTAATAGATTAGATCTATTATAAGCCTTTCAACTAAATTACAGTTCGCGTTCACTTATGGAATGATGCTATGGCAAATTCAATCAAAATATCTGACTCGAAAGATATACTTATTAGCGCCCGATGTTTACTCAAAATCAAACAATTTAACTTTAGCAGTTCAAAATTCAAGTTAGAATGTATATCACTAGTTGACAAATGTGTGTAAGAAAGAAATATCTTATATTCATTGGTATGATATAAGCAATGAATACGAGCAAATTTTTATGTTTGTGTTGTCAAATGTATTACGATTCCAAAAGCTCGAATTGCGTTATGTTAATACCAGTTGGATTTGAACTACCTAGTTGAAAATTAATATTATGTTTTGAAAATGACTCGAAATCTGCCTACATTGAATCAGATGAAAAAAAACATGAACGGCAGGCCTTATGCTTTGTGTTTGTGACTGAATTTACCATTCCAAAAGAAAAGAGATTTTTCTTTTAAGAAAAAGAGTAGTCTTCGAACAAAAATCAATTTCTAGTGGAAAAGAGAACTCCTCACACACATATACCTAACAAGTCAATACGTCTCTCTACTATTTGAGCTAAGAAGACAACTCCATTTTTTTTGACATTTTCTGTCTTTCGACCTGTATGTTACGGGTTCAAGCTGTGTAAACAGTTACTAATGCTTACATCAGGATGTATTGTCTACATCATATCCAAAGGTGCGGTCCTTTTTCGGACTCTGTGTGAATGCAAAATATTTTGTGCACCAGACTGCTCTTTTTGTTATAAATGTGGTGCTCGGGTGGACTTGTGCACAGGGACAGATCCACCTTGCGACCTACGGGTTCACGTAAACCCAGTAACTTTTGTTCAAACGCTGTAAATGTGTTCGAAAAATTCACTAAATATCTATAAATATTTGAATGTGAACCCAGTTACTATTAAAAATTTACTCGAGGTCGTTGCAGGAATCCATAAACATTAAATCCTGGATCCGCCTCTACTTGTGCACGACTCAACTAATTTTATGAAATACTTACTATTATTCTTTCACTAGTATATATATCGAATAACTCTGTCCGCTAAAATATAGACAAATAAAAAGAAAACAATTTTGGACATTTTAATGTACTGCTTTATGGTTGTGGGCCCAAAAGTTGGGACGAAGAGCCCAAATCAAACTCATCTTTCCAAGATTCATTGGAACCTACTTTTCTTGCTCTCTATCTTCCACCTCAGATTTAGGTCATACAATGCACCCACTAAAGTTTCAAAACATATCTTCTTCCATCTATTACACACTCAAAAAAGGTGCTATTTCAATGTTAAAAAACATAGACTTTTTCAATTAAGTTATAGTATTACAATTTCAAATTTTAAGGATAATTAAAGTCATGGTAATCTATTTGAGCCTTTATACATTCTTTAAATTATTGATTTTTTCGTCTTACTAAATACTATGTTTGATACTTTTTATTTTTTGCATGTTAAAAAAGATTATCACCTTCCTTTATTTAGAAATTAATTCTTTTCTTAATTTCTATTTTTTCCTTATTTACATGAAAATTGACATGATTTTGTTGTAAGTTTCAGCATACTTGTTAGGATTTATTTAATTGTTGCATTATATATAAATAATAAATAAAGAGTTATGATATTTTGCATCCGTTTCAATTCCGATATCAAACTTTGCATTAGTAATAATAGTATACACGTGTCGACAGGTAAGCCAAACAAAGAAAAGGCTAAATTTGGGTGAATAATTAATCTTTCCCTTTAGCAAGAAAATTTTGATTTTTCCTTATTTTTTGTCTTTCCTTTGCCTTCTAAGCATCTTGTTAATAATGATTGATACATTTCTCTATTTTGAGATTATTTCATTTTAAAATTTCTGTTTCTCCTTATCGACATGTACATTAACATAATTTCTTGTAAGTTTCACCGTATACAAAACAAGTACTTCTGATATTGTCTTATGTGTTATGGAGTTATTTGGACGTTGATTTAAGAGAATTTTGTTAAAAGTGAAATCGAAATTTTAAAATTAAAGAGTTTTCAAGTATAGAAGGGTGATATTTTTTCCCGTAAAAGATTAAAAAATGGAAGAGTTCCGTTTAAAATGGAACAGAGTATCAAATTTTGTATTGTTATTATTGTTCATAATTCTTCTCCAAATGAACTTTTCCTTTTTGTTAAATTTCATATCTAGTCACACAACAACAGTAACAATAACAACGACATAATCAGTATAATTTTACAAGTGGAGCATAAAGAGAATAGTGTGTATGTATCACAACTGAATAGAGAAAGAAACGCAATAGTTAAAAAATCAAAAAAACAGTAATACCAATAAGATAATAAGAAAATCCGAACAAAAGCAATCAAATTGTAATAAAATTATAGGTATATAAAAATACAAGGATAACACAACTATTATTAAATGCAAAAAAAGACACTCGACTAGTCGCACAAGTAAAAAACAAAGCAAATGGGAGTAATATTAAATATACTACCATTGCACTTATCCTTAGCAATCCACATAATCAAGTAATGCCTTAAAAGTCTAGACACAAAATCAAAGGAGCAACTATAAAGTCGAAAGAAGTGGAACAGCCAAAACCAAGTCACATGTTTACAATTTCAGGCAAGTCAAACAAAGAAACCACCAAATTTGCCTGATGAATCTTTCTCTTTAATTTGAAAAATCTTGCTTTTCTTTTTTTCCCTTCATTTTCTCTTTCTTTTTCCTTCTTCTTAGCCACTTGTTAAAAATTATGCATGCATGTAATTAAATGTGCTTTTTATGTTGTCTCATTTTTAAACGTTACAAGTGTTTGATGATATTGTGTTTCATGTGATATGTAGTACTCCTTCTGTTTGTTTTAACTGATTTTGTATCACTGCGTAAAGTCCAAAAGTTGGTATGTTTGTACATTTTTTCATCTTTTTCTGATTGATGGGGTGGTGGGGTTTGGTTTGCTGTGAAAAAGATAAAAAATTTCAGTAAATTCCAAATTTTGATTCTTGGGTTTTGTTTATAATTATTTGTATATATGTGTACTAGTGTTATTTCTCTTGATTCTTGAATTTGTGGCTGAGAAAGTACCCCTTGAGCTGGGAGGTGTTGAGGTTCTTTTTCCTACTGATGGCAAGTGATTGTTTTTTTAATTTTTTTTTTTGTGGTTGTGGATGATTTTCCTTGAAGGAGGGAATGCTACTTTTTATATTGATTTGATATTTTTTTGTTGAGGAATTTGATGCAGATTTTTGTTTTCTGTTTATTAACTGGTGGAATTTGGTTTGCAGTTGTGAATTGTCTCTTTTGTAGCATTTTTTATCAACAAGGAAACAGAGTAATTGGATCAGTGTTTGTGACTTTGTTCTGCTATTTGGAAGAACAGAAAAGGAGAAGCTTACACAGTATGGCTTTTTTCATACCTCTTTTCTCTTTATTATTTTATGTTTCTCTTAAACTGTATAATGTTCTATGAGTCCATTTGGAGTATAATTGAGATTTATCTTGCTAATTTAAAAGGAGGGGGGCGTAACTGGTAAGGTTGCCGCCATGTGATCAGGAGGTCACGGATTCGAGCCGTGGAAACAGCCTCTTGCAGAAATGCAGGGTAAGGCTGCATACAATAGACCCTATGGTCCGGCCCTTCTCCGGACCCCGCGCATAGCGGGAGCTTAGTACACCGCTTGCTAATTTAAAAGGAGGTTGCATTATTCACACCAACGTGGCTGATATTACCTAGTTATCTAAACAATGTTTTCCTTTCTATTTAATATAAGTGCTTAAAGAATATCAGGGGGTGTAATTCCACATTATTAAAGATGGTATGAGCATTTCCAGTTTAGCAAAATTTTAGATGATTTTAGCTAATGTAGTATATAAGCGTTGTGATTCTCCATTTTCTTCTATTTTTAGCATACACTCCAATTTAGATAGGCGGGTTGCTCGGACTCTCCAAAAATGTCTCTGGTTGTGTGTCGGATCCTCCAAAAGTAGTGCATTTTTGGAGGATCCGACATGGGTGCGGCGACATTTTTGGAGAATCCGCACAAGATAGCCCGTAAGTTCGTTTCCTAGACGCTTCCTGAAATTCTAGGTAAGCATCTTTTTCGTCAGGTTGTGATGGTTTGCTGCTGAAAGAGTTGTTTGAAATTTATATTTCTTTTTTCTTACATGTGCATGCTAAAGCAAGACGAATGGATTCTTCAAGAATGGAACTGGTTACTTATATGGGGCATATAAATGCATTTCTGTTTTCTAGGTCAGGGAAAATGGTGATGAGAACCGTGGATCTTCGCTCGGACACAGTCACTAAACCAACTGAAGCCATGCGGAACGCAATGGCCAACGCTGAAGTGGATGACGATGTATTGGGTTATGATCCAACTGCCCAACGCCTTGAAGCCGAGATCGCAAGGATAATGGGCAAAGAAGCAGGGCTATTTGTTCCTTCAGGCACTATGGGCAACCTTATCAGTGTGCTGACTCATTGCCAAATTAGAGGCAGTGAAATTATTCTTGGTGATTATTCACATATCCATATTTATGAAAATGGAGGCATTGCCACTCTCGGAGGTGTTCATCCGAGGACAGTGAAGAACAATGAAGATGGAACAATGGATCTTGATTTAATTGAAGCTGCAATTCGAGATCCTAGCTTTGAGATATGTTACCCGACCACTAGGCTGATCTGCTTGGAGAATTCACATGCACAGTAAGAATATATTTNATGGCCAATGCTGAAGTGGATGACGATGTATTGGGTTATGATCCAACTGCCCAACGCCTTGAAGCCGAGATCGCAAGGATAATGGGCAAAGAAGCAGGGCTATTTGTTCCTTCAGGCACTATGGGCAACCTTATCAGTGTGCTGACTCATTGCCAAATTAGAGGCAGTGAAATTATTCTTGGTGATTATTCACATATCCATATTTATGAAAATGGAGGCATTGCCACTCTCGGAGGTGTTCATCCGAGGACAGTGAAGAACAATGAAGATGGAACAATGGATCTTGATTTAATTGAAGCTGCAATTCGAGATCCTAGCTTTGAGATATGTTACCCGACCACTAGGCTGATCTGCTTGGAGAATTCACATGCACAGTAAGAATATATTTTCTCCATAAAACTGTTGCAATCGCAACTCTCTATTTGGTACATTATCTGGTTATGCTTTCTGATTTTTGCTAGTTTTTGTTAGACGTGTTGTACATTTAGTATGTTGTTGTCCTTATCAATTTTTTTTTTTAGTATTATTGTTGTATAACTTGACTAACACAATTACATTTATGAGTTATTACTGCACTCTTGTTCCCACGACTGCATTATAATTTATAAGGCAAATCCTGAAATCTCTTCCCTCAACTCTGGATCTTGACTGCAATTATTACTCTCTCGCATTCATCCCGTGCTGTCTATCGACACACAAAGATGATAAAAAGAAGAAAAGAGTTAATAATCAGTATCTTCTTGGATATTTCTTGTACTTCAATCAAAATCTTTTCTTAATGTGGTCACTTAAATCCAAGGTTCAAGTCCAAAAATATCAAGTAGTTGCTTAATTGTCATTCTTTTCTGTTCGTTTAGTCAGTTTGGTATTGATTCATTTTATAATGCAAGATCCTAACCAACAATATTCTACGAGTGCAGCTCAGGAGGCAGATGCCTTTCTGCAGAGTATACAGACAAAGTCGGAGAGCTAGCAAAGAAGTATGGTCTGAAGCTTCACATTGATGGAGCTCGTATATTCAATGCATCAGTTGTGAGTACACAGTTTTCTTGCTTTTATGAGACAACGTTTTGTTGGAGTCGGTCAATGATGCTACCCTGAGTATGCATCAGTTGTGAGTACACAATTTTCTTGCTGTTACGAGACAACTTTTTGTTGGAGTCGGTCAATAATGCTACACTGAGTTAGATGGATCTTCAAATTAAAGTAATTTTCAGTAGTTTCTGTAAAGAATGTTGTAATCTAGTTCAATGATTTATGAGTTCCTTTTTATGGTCATATGGCTTCATTGATTGATGAGGTCTTATAGAAGTCTAAATTGTAGAGTTGTCCTAAATTACTTTTAAGGGCAACTGCGTGTCCTTCTGTATGCATTCTTTTTCATATTCATTGAGATTAACTGGATTAATCTGTTTTGTAGGCACTTGGAGTGCCTGTTCATAGACTTGTACGTGCTGCTGATTCAGTTTCGGTAAGTGATATTTTAGCCAAAGATCTAGACTACCTTTCTCTTCATTGTCTCTCGTTGTTTCCGGTCCATTGTTTTTGATTAAGGGACTGCTACATTTTATTTATAACATGATATCCTAAAGGAGAAAAAAAGAGATATTCTATGCCTCAAGGCTGTAAGCCTGTAACATATGACAAGTTTGTTAGTGTATCGTTTCCGAATTTCTGCTCATTTAAGAGTCTGTGCAGGTATGCTTATCAAAAGGTCTTGGTGCTCCAGTTGGGTCTGTGGTTGTTGGTTCAAAGAGCTTCATTGCCAAGGTAGGTATGCTTTTCCATAAAGAATTTATCTGTTCCTTGCCAAAGGAAACTGTCGCCTAGCTCGTTGTTTCCTTCGGTTTCTAGGCAAAAATTCTGAGGAAGACTCTAGGCGGTGGAATGAGGCAGGTTGGTGTCCTTTGTGCTGCTGCTTTTATCGGTTTCCAAGAGAATCTTGTTAAGCTGGAAGGAGATCACAAAAAGGCTAAGATTTTGGCTGGTAATATTTTCTCCGTTCGATTAGGTTTATTTAAACAACTTTATTCATTTGTCTAATGATTCCCTTTGCTTCTTAGAGGAACTAAACAAAATCAAAGGGCTGAAAGTTGATATTGCTGCCGTAGAGACTAACATTGTAAGTTTACTCATCATAAATGATACTTAACTTTTTCTTTTTTTAAAATTAAAAAATGATGCTTGGTTTTAACAGCCGATACGTTATATGGAAATATGTGCAATTAGTCAGATGAACCATTACAGTTCACTCACAGTTATGGAAAAGCATTAAGGATCTTTTTCTATCATCAGGTATATTGCGATATACTGAAGGGGTCAAAGATCAGCGAAACAGAGATGTGCAAGATTTTGGAGCAACATGGTTTACTTATACTACCAGAAGGCCTAATGAGGTGCGTGCGCTTGCCTTTTTGTTTCTTCAAATCTCTCCCCAAGCACGTCTACTTTATTTCCTTTGTTGTTTTGCGTGCTAAGCTCATTTGGAGTTCACCAACTAGTGCAGAAAAATTAATAACATGTATTTTCAAGAGGTACAAACACTTGTATTATCGCATCCATAGTTGCAAAAAATATCGGAAACAGTTTCTCTACCTTCGTAAGATAGGGGTAAGGTATGCGTACACATTACCCTCCCCAGATCCCCTCGTGGGATTCACTGGGTCTAGGTTTGTTGTTGTATTTGTTGATGATGATGCCAATAGCATTAGGTATTGTAGCTCCTTAACTAGTTTTCCAATATGAAATCTGCTAATAGCGCTCAAACTTGTATTTGTTGGTAGAGGATTGAGAATCTATAATCGTTTTCTCCCATAGTTTAAGAGACTAATTTTGATATGGTTCGGAAGATTTGGTTGTCTATTCTACTTAAGTTGATTTATTCATGGAAAAATGAACCGTCCAAATATTGGTATCGTCCAGCTTATAGTAATAGATCTGCATTCATTATATATAGTCAGACATTTCTATAACATCATCCATATATAAATTCACTATAAAAGCTAAGTTTTTCTAGGAACCGATTTTCATATTATGTAATAATATATGTCCTCTATAACAACACTTCACTATAGTAGCCAAAAAGTATTAGAGGCTATTATAGAGAGATTTGACTGTAAATGTCTTTGATGGTAACTTTCGGAACATGCTCCTATAAATTACAAACCAAAAGCCCTTGTGAGATTTTCAGCATCTCTTAAGAAAATGTTGGGAACTTCTATTGCAGAATCAGATTTGTTATTCATCACCAGATTTCAGAAAATGATGTGCACTATGCGGTATCTTGTGTTCAGGTAAGAAGTTAATGAATTCAAGCATCGACCTTAACTGATGATTAGAAAAATATTCTTCATTTTTCTGTTTGGTTAAATATCTGCAGCGAGCTTTAGCAGGAGTGGCCGAAGAAAATGGTGACAAGTAACAGTTTATGACCGGTTACTGACATGATCGATCCCCATCTTTAAGAAGATATTCCAATTTCTGTGGCATCAAAACCTTTATCATGTTCATATGTTAGCTCTTCCAAATGCTATATGGAAGGCCAGTTTCATTTGAAAATTTAGTCAATCTTTTAGTCTACATTTCATGTCCTTTTAGTGATCAAAGACTTGGATATATTTTCATATCTTGTGGTTGGACTAATTTCAATACTTATACTTGATTTAGTAAGAGCTAAATGTGGATCACATACTGCTGCAATGCTAATGGACAAACTTCTTCACCTTCCAAATCTTTATTTTTGCCCATGTATTTATCTTGCAATAACCATTAGTTTGTATAACTGGACATCTAGTTCATAATTTTTCTTGGGCTTGTGTGAGAATTTTCGAGGGGAAGCCTTAGCGTAACTGATAAAGTTGTTGTCATGTGACCAGTAGGTAACGGGTTCGAGCCGTGGAAACAACCTCTTGCAGAAATACAAGGTAAGGTTGCGTACAATAGACTCTTATGATCCGCCCTTTCCCTGGACCCCGCACATAGCGGAGGGTTAGTGCACCGGACTGCCTTTTATTTGGGTGAGAATTTTCCTATCTATGTCCAACTCAGAGAATAATCTGTAGACGAACCTTGATGTCGGCTCTTCGCCACTTGGGACTGTAGTATGTTCCATTGGTTGGGCTATTCCATGGCTTGGTTGGTCAAAAACAAATCAACATCAACGCTTGTCAAGGTTGTAACAACTAAATTTCGCTCCTGAAAAATAATAATTAAGACAAGAAATATAGCGACAAATATTGTATTCGATTTCAAGTGATGGGATTACAATCTCTAAAATATCTCAAATCTAAAGAGATATAGCCCTCTGATTCTTCTCCTCACGGACGATGGTTCAAGAGCTAGAGAACTTGATCTTGAACTTGGCGGATTTTGGGTTTGTAGTACGTCACGAACAATTTGAAGGTCGTCACAAACCAGGATTTGGTGTTGGGTTATCACGAACGAAAAGCCGTCCGCCTTTGGAATTTGACCACCACAGATGACAATTGCAGATATGGATGGAGATCTTGATGCTATTCTTCAGAGCTTTTTTAGCTTTTTCTTCTGCTTACTGATTGTCCTTCTAGCTTTCTCCTTTGACCACTTTATATAGGGGTGGGGTGGAGTAACATCCAAGAAAACCGTAGTGGGCATTAGGCCTGAGGCTCATGGGTCGGTCCATTTGATGGAAGAATGGGCTAGCCCAATTTTATTGGACTTTTATTTAAATAATTGACTCAATCATACTAGCCAATAATATTTGTTTGGCCTAGTATATGTCCAATTATGGTAAAATTCAAATTTCGTATGGATATAAATTTAATAAAAATTTAATTATCTACAAATGTCCCCTACTTTAAGGCTTGTTGGGTGTAGGCTTGCTGAAACGAGCGACAAGACCTGAAGTATCCGTCAAATTTAGAATCTCTCGATAGAACATTTACACAATGAAGTTAAGTAATTTGGTCAAAACAGTTTTCCTTTAACTCAAACCAAACTCCCGTCGTGGTGCCCTTTTGAGCAGTTGTGTCACGTCCTTAGTCTTTGACTAAGTACACGTGCGACACTTGACAACTTGCTCACGATTTTGCATAACTTGCTCACGTTCTTGATGTACCAAGTCAGTCTTACTACACTAAAGATCGCTAAGGGAATGCTAGAACACAGGAGAATTGCCAAAGGAAGCTTTTGTATTAGAGAGAACTTGATTGTTTTGCTTGGTGAATTACAAATGAATGACCCCCTTTATATACTAGTCTCCTAGGGGCTAGTGAGTAAATAATTATTATTACACAAGTCCCTTATTATTTACAAGTAAGACCCCTCTCTAGAATTCCTTACATATAGAATCTTCCAAGAACTTTCCTAGCAAATCCATAGGGTTCTGGGGTCTTCCTAGGGAAATCTCTATATTTCTCTAGAACTTTCCTACAAGTTCTAGCCTCTTTCCTATATAAGTTTTCGATATGGCAAAAATATATGCCAAGTGGCACCTACGTGGCATAATGATGTGGCGGGTCATGACAGTTGTCTCAAAAAAAATTCCTTTACCATGTAAGACTTTCAACCAATAAGGAATTACCTTTCCTTTGAAAGGAATATTCGTGCACGTTAATACTATAAATAGCGGATGTTCCTCCAGAGTTTTCTCATCAAAACATCATGTGGCTTACCGTTACAGCCTCCACATTAACTCATGCTGGGGAGTTAAAGTCCTCTCAAGCAAGGGCTTGGGCTTCCATTTTGTTTTCTTGCTATTCTCCTCTTCTTCTTCTTTTTGTAAAAGTTATTCACGTTTTTCTTTTTATTGCAGAAGCTGCCTGGAGCTGTCAGCTTTGTGCGTCTGTATAGGAGATCCCAAATTGCAAAGCGTTTAATTTTATTGAAACTAGACTCGGAGGTCCTTAGCCAAAGTCTTTCTGGATTGGCTGGTATTAAGTTCTTAAATTGATCTACACGGGCCCGTTCAGCTCACAACTTCGCGCACTCTCGCCGTAAAATTCATATCTCAAGATAAAAGTGTCCAAATCATAAGCCGTTGAGGCATTCGAAAGAAGCCTGTGAGATCTACAACATGTATAAAACTTTAAGCTCTACCCTTTTTGATACAGTCATAGTAAATTTTTGAATCAAACGCTGAAATCGGGAGGATTGTTCGGGCATTTAATTCTTTTTTTTCCAGCTTTGGCAGAGACGAACACGGCGAGTTCTCTGTGACAGATCACGTGAAGAATTACATGATCAACACTATCCTTTTTGCAGGTGAATAGGTTCATGGAACTTCCTATCCATTGAATCTTGGCATGGATGACTTCTTGCAACAACTAAGAACTTTATGCAGCGTCATTCTCACGGCTTTGATAGAATAACCTGTGGAGCAATACATTCTTCAAGATTTGGTGGAGAAGTGCATGTCACAAATTTCACCATCTGTATTGGAGAATCGTGTTATTGACACCGGTACTTGCTACTGAGTTAAAGCACCATGTCGTTTGGCACCGATCAACTAAAAAAAACTAAAAGCTTCGTGCCATTGGCACCGGAGGCTCCAATTTTTTTTCTCTTTTGCAGATTTTCAAGAGAGTATTAACGGTCATGATATCCCTAAGAATATTCACTAGGGGTCCACATGAATGATGCCAGACCATTCGTCTCTTTATTGCAGCTTGGCGAGAGAATCTCGTGGTGTATCCTTACTTTTGCGGCTGGAGAAGGGAACATTTATGAGAGACTCCTTTTCACCTTTGGCGAGAAAGCATGTGGCGTATATCCCCTTTTTTGGCTTGGTGAGATAGTTGGAGTGCTACTTCCTTTGCGAGCAAGTACATGAAGCAGCCACTTCAACCTTTGGCGTGGAACTACCTCTTCTTTCAACTTGTCGAAGACGTGCATGGGGTGTCCTAAACTTCAAGCTTTAGCATGGAATGACCCCTTCTTATAACTTGGTGAGAAGTTCATGGAGTGTCTCATCCTTCAAGCATTGGAGTAGAATAACCTCTTCTTGCAATTTGGAGAAGAATTGCATAGAACGTCCTTCTCACGACTTGATGAAAAGATACATGTAGTGCTCCATATTTCGAGCTATGGAGGAGAGCATCTCGTCCTTCAACCTTTATCGAAAGAAGCACATGAAGCATTTTTTATCTGGCTGGATGAAAGAAAACATGGCGCATCATCCTTTAAGCTTTTTGATGGAGTAACTTCTTCTTTTAACTTACTAAAGAAGCACATGGCGCATACATGGAGCTAGCTTCCTCTTTGGCTATCGTGAAAAGGAATTGACTTTTTTTAGCTTAAGTGACTAAACTTAGAATGAACTCTAAGTTGCTTACGTACCCCAGCAAAGAGGATCAAGTCATTACGTAGTTCAAAAGAAGTATAATTTTTTTTGTATGTAGTTTATACTCGTGCAAACAAGGAGTATAGCAACTTGAAGACTTTGCTCAAATTGAAGAGCTTTGCAACTTGAAGTCTTACTCAAATTTGAAGGGCTTGCAACTTGAAGACTTTGCTCGAATTTGAAGAGCTTTGCCACTTGAAGTCTTATCTTAAATTTGAAGAGCTTTACATCTTGAAGACTTGCTCAAATTTGAGGAGCTTGCTACTTGAAGTCTTTGCTCGAATTTTAAGAGCTTTACTACTTGAAGTCTTAGCTTAAATTTGAAGAACTTTACATCTTGAAGACTTGCTCAAATTTGAGGAGCTTGCAACTTGAAGTCTTTACTCGAATTTGACGAGCTTTGCGACTTGAAGTCTTAGCTAATATTTGAAGAGATTTACATCTTGAAGACTTCCTCAAATTTAAGGAGCTTGCAACTTGAAGTCTTTGCTCGAATTTGAAGAGCTTTGCAACTTGAAGACTTCGCTCGTATTTGAAGAGCTTCGGGGCATACAGTTTAGGCTTGTGTGTCAATGAGCATCATAACTTGCAGTTTAGGCTCGTGCATTGAGGAGCGCTTTGACATACAGTTTAGGCTCATGCGTCAAGGAGCGTTACAACATGCAGTATAGGTCCATGCGTCAAGGAGCGCTGCAACATGCATGGAATTTTCTATTTCAATTTCGGATGAATACTTTCCCCCATTCTCCGCATCGTCTACTTCTTTTCCATCGTGAGTCTCAAAGACAGACAACCTTTGATCTCCACGTGTAGCCATACTCAATTCCATATCATGTGCACGGGTGGCTAACTCTTCAAAAGTTTTAGGCTTTATTCCTTGCAAGATGTTGCGAAGGCCCTAATGCATACCTTGGATGCACATTTCGATGCCAAAAATTTTACTAAGACGATCTTTGCAATTGAGGCTTAAACTCCTCCATCGATTGATGAATTCGATAACTGGCTCATCCTTCCGTTGGCGGGCATTTGTAAGTTCAATCATACTCACAATGTGCCTCGCTCTATAGAAGCGATTGAGGAATGTTTGCTCGAGTTGCTCCCAACTATCAATAGAACCTAGTTCAAGATCTGTGTACCAATCGAAAGCATTTCCTTTGAGAGATCGAACAAACTGCTTGACCAGGTGATCATCATAAGTTCCAGCATCATTGTACATCTTGACGAAGTGTGCAACATGTTGCTTGGGATTCCATTTACCGTCGAATTGTTGAATCTTAGGGGGTTGATATCTGCTTGTCATCTTCAAGTTATCAATCCTTTGTGTGTACGACTTGGCATATGTAAGGAAAGATTTAGGCAAAGGCTCAATTTTATCTTTGATGGACCCTAAGATGAAGTCCTTAAATTGCTCAACATGA